GCAGTTTTTAGTAAAAAAAATTGAAAAAATTTCGAAAATTAGCGATTTTTAAATTTGTAATTTTTTTGGAGGTTTCCCCCATTTATGGGGAACGAGGGAAATTTTTTCAATTTTGAAGGGTAATGTCTTCGACTACATACGATTTGTGATCTTTTGACGTATCGTTGAAAGAAATCCGTTAGGTGAGAGCTGAGAAAAAGTGGTAACAGACACAAAAAAAAAAAAAATAAATAAACACATCATAATAAAACCAATACCTTCTCAGCTTCGCATCGAAGCTAAAATTATTAATTGTATAATATATATATATATACATATTTCTTTTTCTTTAAGTTATTTATTTATTAATTTACTTGTTTGAAGACGGATTCAGTATTTCTTCAAATCCAAGGTCTTCGTATTCATTTTCTATGGTGAGGTTGCAAAATGAATCTAGCATCTTTTTCACAAAATCGAAAGTACTTGAATGAGGATTTCTTGATTTGAAATTTAAATATTCCTTTTCAAAAATCAAATTATAGTTAATCGGTACAGGGAGTTCAGCTAAAATACAATCATCCTCTTCGTCATTTTCAGTCATTAAATATAATTGTCCAACGAATGTTTTAATATTTAATAGTACTGAAGTCGCATTTTCAGGTATATAATTACCATACTGATCAATATAAAATGATTGGTCTGATATTTCCATTATATTTATATAGTTATAGGCAAAATAAATTTCTTCTACCTTGACAAATGGGTTTCCAGAAATATTCGCATTCAACCATTTTATATCTAAATAACTCATAAACGTCATTACTTGATATAAATTATCAAACATAATTTTGGAATTTTTCACTGCATATTCAATGCGTCGGGTGCAATCAATAAATTCTTTTAATAAATTATCCGTTGAATATTTTTCACATTCTCTTATACTTAAAGTGACGATTTCAACATAATTTTTTAATATCTGAGTATATTTGTAGTTAAGTAAACCAACAACAATACTAAATATGGTTATAACATTTTTTTTGTAAATTTGTTCTGCAAATGCATTTCCAATTGTCATATTCATGTACTTATGATTCAATTGCAAATGTTTAATTGATTCCCATCCATCTTGAGCACAAATATGCTTTACTATTGTAATAAAATATTTTGAATATTGCTTTTTTATAGTTCTTGGATCTAAGGTCGATAGATGCACTAAGTGAGTAAAATATATAAAAATAAAAATAAAAATTTTGAGTTGCATAATAAATTAATCTCTACTACTAAAAATTTAAAGTGACACTAATAATTTTATGTAGTGAGGAATAATTTTCCTTTCTGAATAAATTAATAATCTTTTTTACTATTTATGAACAAATAGCTATAATTTTTTTATAAATATCATGCATATTCTATTTTGAAAAACAACTAAAAAAAATAATGTTAAAAATGTTTTATAGCAATAAATTAATGAATTTAATATACTTATTTATAAATCTTTTGCAATTGTTTTTAATAAAATCGTAGGTATATATAATGGAATAATATATTATTAAAGCCAATACCGTTCAGTTTTATAACTATTACATGTGTTCTTATTAAGATTATTATTGTATAATACAATATTATGATCGCTTATACTAAATAATCATAGCAATCTGTAATAAGCATTTTTTTTTTAAAGCTTCTATTCATGTAGAAAATAGAGTATAAACTGTGACTGCCAAAGAAATAACAAACTTTGTTATTCAACTTCTTTAATTATTTATTTAACTAGTAGGACCGGAAACACTGTTCAAAGGCCTAATGACTTATTAATAAAACATTTTTCGTGAGCTATATATATTTTAAGCACTCTATAACTTAAGTTTCAAAAATTTTTATTCTCAGGTGGAAATTTTTGTTAAGTACCAGTATTGCTGATGTGCGAAGTATTGCTCCACAACTGACAATTAACCATTAAATAACCTGAACTAGAATAGTACTAATTTTGCGTCTTGTCCAAAACCTGGTCAAGTACTTTGTCGGTTAGCACTTGGTTGCCATTACTGGCAAAGTACTAGCGTAATTCTAGATTTACAAAATCTTCAATACTGATTTGTCAGTTCTGAAACGGAAATATAATATCAAACATATACCAGTATTAGTAGCACTACTGCATCAGAACTGTCAGTACTGTCGCAGTACAGCACCTGTTGTACGGACCCAAGTTGACCTATTTCACGAAACTAAAATTGATACTAAAAAAATCTTAAAATCAATTTTTAGGCCAAAGTTAGTTGATACATTGTTTAAGTGCCTAATATAGAATATATAACCTTGACTGTGGGTAGTACGATTATATACTATAGTTGTAACCACGATTTAAAGGGTCAGGGAGTTCAGACCTACCCAAAAAAACAGAAAATATATACTTATAAGTTGTATAGATGTAATTCTTCCTCGTGAGAACGATTCAGAAATGAGAAAAACTCGCATGAGTATGAACAAAAAGGAATATAAAATAGAGTTTTGAAGTTTTAATAAAAATTTTGTGATAACGTTGATAATGATTTTATTAATACATTGACATATATCATATAGCATACATTTAAATTCTACTACCCCATAATTATATATTCGCGCATAGAAATGAATCTAAGTCTAGTAAGAACCAGGTGATTATTAAATATTTATTGATAACACTTTAAGTATTAATTCTAATATAAATTTCTAATCATTTTTTCGGAAAATTACGAAACAATGGCGTTGGCCTATAAATTGTTTACAATTTAGGTATTATTTGGTTAAGTATACAAATGTGTACTGTAAAAGTGATCAATCTATTTTTATATATCACTAGAGATTTATTTTTAATTTTATATCATTATTTGGGTTTATGTTAACTATATATAATTTTTTTAAATATAATACATCGTGTACTTCATCACCGAAATGTAGAGATGCGAGTCGGTATTATACAAGGTATGATACACGCGTATAAAATTATTTTATACCGGCTGTATCAAAAAAAAAAAAAAAATGCTTTATCAACATTTATATTCTTTTGGATTTGATTTTAATTGATATACGCAATTGTAATTAATGATATAGATGGATTGCATTATTAGATTTAAATGTATCTATAATCGTGAATATTATTGTAGATTAATAGATATATTTTTAAAACATAATTAGCTGTCAGATCCGCCAGGGAAACATGGTTATCATAACAAACAAAAGCAATTGACTTGTGTACGGTATAACCGTGGTCTCAGTATGTTTTTAGTATTACCACACAATAATCTTGTCACATTTTAAGCGCCAACGCATGTCGGTTCAAATGGAAGAAAATAAAAGCACAGATCAGGTGAATCTATTCTGTGGTAAAAGTATTTTGTTTTGTGATTTTAATTGTTTAAGTTTAAAGTATTATTTGCAAATTACGAACTAAGATGGGTCGTCCATCAAAGCAAAAACGAGAATGAAACAGATGAACTATTTGATAATGTCATGACATAAACAAATTAAGATTATAAAATATTTCATACTTTATAAAAATTAATTCTTAGTACTCTGTGATACTAAAATTTATAATCGATAAGGTGCTTAAGTTATTTTTTTTAAGGTAACAAATATTAATACAATTATCAATTTTAAGATTAATAGTAAGATGCCATATTTTAATTTTTTAATAGTTTATTTAAAGGATAGGATTTTTTTTTGTTAAGAAAAAGTGAGTTTTATTATTTTATTTATTATGTTATTAAAAATTTTAAGTTTTTAATGTGGTAAAATTCCAATTGTGTATTTATACTTGTTTAAAAAAGCAGACTTCTCAGACATCATGGGTGGTTTCTGGTTGCAAATTGACTATAGTTGGTACTTAGTTGATACTAAATCATTCTCTAGACAGGAATTCTGGATAGAGAAATATCTTAGTTCAATACTTTAACTAATTACTCCCTGAACATTTTGTTTTCATCAANATCAGGTGAATCTATTCTGTGGTAAAAGTATTTTGTTTTGTGATTTTAATTGTTTAAGTTTAAAGTATTATTTGCAAATTACGAACTAAGATGGGTCGTCCATCAAAGCAAAAACGAGAATGAAACAGATGAACTATTTGATAATGTCATGACATATACAAATTAAGATTATAAAATATTTCATACTTTATAAAAATTAATTCTTAGTACTCTGTGATACTAAAATTTATAATCGATAAGGTGCTTAAGTTATTTTTTTTAAGGTAACAAATATTAATACAATTATCAATTTTAAGATTAATAGTAAGATGCCATATTTTAATTTTTTAATAGTTTATTTAAAGGATAGGATTTTTTTTTGTTAAGAAAAAGTGAGTTTTATTATTTTATTTATTATGTTATTAAAAATTTTAAGTTTTTAATGTGGTAAAATTCCAATTGTGTATTTATACTTGTTTAAAAAAGCAGACTTCTCAGACCTTTNTTATTTATTATGTTATTAAAAATTTTAAGTTTTTAATGTGGTAAAATTCCAATTGTGTATTTATACTTGTTTAAAAAAGCAGACTTCTCAGACATCATGGGTGGTTTCTGGTTGCAAATTGACTATAGTTGGTACTTAGTTGATACTAAATCATTCTCTAGACAGGAATTCTGGATAGAGAAATATCTTAGTTCAATACTTTAACTAATTACTCCCTGAACATTTTGTTTTCATCAATTTTGCTAAAGGCTTTTTCAGTAAGTACTCATTTATTTATTGCGTTTTATGAAAAATAATCACTCTAAAGTTTATTTTTTCTCAAATTTTAAGGTGCCACAATGATTTATACGTTATTATACAGTATTATACGTCTATTATACGATATTATACAGCAAAAAAATAAAATACCGTATTTTAACAACTCTACCGAAATGTAACATTTGTTTACTTTGCAAATGACAATATTAACATACATCAATAAAATTTATCTATTTTATCATAGAAACGGTAAGGAATGAATACAGTTTTATACCAATTTTAATTTTATATTAATATATAAAGTTATAAATATAAGTATAACTTTTTGAATTATAATGTATAATTCAAACAAGGGTAGCGGGTATTTTCATTTGATCATACTCCGATGAACCTGAGCCCATTAAAATTATATTATAAAATTTAATTAAAAAATTTTTACAAAAAATTAAGAAGTATAGTCCATACAGTTAATAGAAATAATTAAGTACAATTTTAAAGTAGTATATGTATTATTTTAGCATGAACTCTTGAATATTTAAAAAGAAATTATGAATTTTTAGGCTAGTAATTGTAATTACTTTCTTTCACAAATAAAATTTAAAACTATTATAAAGAGTGGCTCAGAGAGACAAAGCCAACCACAAAATCTGAAATTCAGCCTTGTTTAAAAATGAATGCAAAAGGTTTTAATCCTTATTTTAGTTAGTCTTTAATTAATCTTAAATAAAAATCTCTTATTAGGATTAAACATTTTATTAATATTATTTTAACTGTAATTTATTTTACTTGAAAGTAAAATATAATCAAATAATAAAATTAGAATTTCGATAATATGAAAATGCGAGAGTAATAAATATTAATTCTGATCTCCTATGGATCCCAGTCGTCAAATCGCTTAAAGAAGAAGATCTACATTCCTTACTGAATAACGTGCCCGTTAACAATAAGTTAGCGGTAATATTTACGCTAGCGTAACATTGTAAAAATAAAGTTTGCAAAATAACGCTAAATATGCCGCTGAGCTTTAACTTTCCGATAGTTTAACGTGATATTGTAAAAAACGACTATTAATGTTTCACTTCAAAGCATAAACCTGTAATTTTCACCAATTACAGAATGGCATAGGTAGCAGATAATGCAGCGTATTTAGAAATATTTTTAGCAATGGGCCTTTAGGGTTTTTTTCTAAGACAGGTTTCAAAAGAAATTTTTTTCGTTCAACATTTCTCACAATATGTGATTTCTAAAAAATATTCCATTAATAATTTGAATGAATATTTACCTACATTAATTCAATTATAAAAAATTCAATGCCAATATTTTAGAAGACTTACCTTGAAAGTCTTCTATTCCTAAATAAATAGGAGTAGTGTATCTTTATTAGAACATTACACAATTTATTTGTATGCATATCTTAATAAATAATTTTATTATTTCGTACATATTATATTGAACACTAATTATTATAAAAATGACAACAAAATTTTTATTAAATTTTATCAAACCCTAGATTTTTATATTCATTAATGACAAAATCTACACAAAACATATTTAATTCCTCACATGACTGTTGACAACTGTCATTATTTTTACTAATAGATGTTTCATCATTCTTTAAGACTGCTTTTTTAAAATTATAGGGTTTTTCATAATAAAAGCAGTGCTTATTATTAATTCGCTTTCCATTTGTTATAATTANCGTAATAAAAGCAATGCTTATTATTAACTCGCTTTCCATTTTTTATAATTACTTTAAAAGAGGATATCACATAGACCGCGTCATCATAATACTTCTGTACAACATCTTTTAAATTTGGAATCTTCGGGTCAGCAAATACAATTTGTAACAGGTTTTTTTCTTGAATCAAGTCTAATATGTTTTTTACTATGCTCCTTATAACAGATAAACAATAATACAATCCATTCCCATGCCAAATTGTTGCCTCTTCTAATTTATCTATTGCCGTGTTTAAACAATTTAAAAACACCTGAGAATTACTAATAGCCATGAAAAAAATTTTTATACAATCAGTGAATTTAAGTGGATTATTTTGTACTTCCGTACCAAAATTATCTCTTTCACAAAATCTTACAGTTTCATGTAAATGTGAAGTGAATTTTTTTAATAAGTCAAAAAATCTACATCTTAATAGTAAAGTGAAATATTGCATTTTGAGACGAAAATTGTTATTATTTGCATAATCTCTAAGCACACGGTTTGCACTAAGTAATTGGTCATTATGCTTTATATATAAATTTTCCATAGTCTTCCAGTTACCCTCTTTAAGAAAAATATTCAAGTACATTATTCCTTTTTCTTGTGAAATAGAATCAAATGGAGGTACACATAATGAAATACATCTGCATTAAAAAATAATCAGTTAAAATTGTACAATTAACAAAAAAATTCTATAAAAATATCTCAGAAGTAAAATATGGAAAATCTATTAAATAAAATTTTATCTGGTAAATATTTAGTTTTGTAGTTTCAACTTTAGATAATATTTAGAAAATATGAAGACTGATTTAAAAACAATGTATTTTTAATGGTAAAAATACATTTACCTCACACGTAAATTTTTAAAGAAAAAGTAATAATTTACAGATAGCAGTTTTGAGAAATCAAATTTTTAATCGGATTTTAAATTTACAAAAATGGATAATTGTATTATAAGTGAATTAAAAAAAACCAGCTCAGGGGGGTCGCGGCACAGTGGTGACGTGGCATAGTTGGATCAAGTATAATGATATCTGACAGTGATCATCAGTAAAATCAGTATAAAAAAAAAACGCTTCGATGCTAATCTTTAGATAGTGTTTAATTTTAAAAATTTGGTGGATTATTCCAAAAGCTACATGATCTGCTATTGTCTTATTAATATTCTAAATGAAAAAGGGATTATTAAAAAATATTATTTCTCATAAAAAAATAATGTTGATCCATACACTTTTCAATATGTCATAGCATTATAAAGTTAAAAATGTAAAAAATAAAATCAAGAATTTTCACACAAAAATAGTATTCAGTAGCCATTTTCACCGTGAAGACAAAATTAAGTCCGAAATTTTTTTTGAAAAAGTTGTCATTTTAAATCCCCCCTGTGGGAAGATAAAGGGTTAGATTTATAAAAAAAATATACCAAATGATAGATAAAGACATCAAGTAAATATAAAAAAAAATTTATATTGAAATGTTTATTTTTGAAAAAGTTATGGTAGTTTTTAGTAAAAAAATTGAAAAAATTTCGAAAATTCGTGATTTTTAAATTTGTAATTTTTTTGGAGGTTTCCCCCATTTACGGGAAACGAGGGAAATTATTAAATTTTTGAGGGTAATGTCTTCGACTAGATACGATTTGTGATCTTTTGACGTATCGTTAAAAGAAATCCGTTCGATGAGAGCTGAGAAAAAGTGGTAACAGACACAAAAAAAAAAATAATAATAACACATAATAGTAAATTTAATACCTTCTCAGTTTCGCATCGAAGCTAAAATATTGGTCTAAATAACATTCGTTTTGAATATATATATATAGATATATATTTTTGTTCTTTTTGAAAGAACAAAAAATATGTGATGTGAAGTGTAGAACCTTAAATTAAAAAGTAAAAAATTAAATATTTATTCATTTACTTGTTTGAAGACTGATTTAGTATTTCTTCAAATCCAAAGCCTTCATAATATGTTTGTATGGTGAACTTATAAAATGTTTCTAGCATCTTTATCACAAAATCGAAAGAACTTAAATGAGGATTTAGTGATTTGAAATTTAAATATTCCTTTTCAAAAATCAAATTATAGTTAATCGGTACTGGATGTTCAGCTAAAATACAATCATCCTCTTCGCCATTTTCAGTCATAAAATATAAATGTTCAACGAATGTTTTAATATTTAATAGTACTGAAGTCGCATTTTCAGGTATATAATTACCATACTGATCAATATAAAATGATTGGTCTGATATTTTCATTATGTTTATATTGTAATAGGCATAATGCATTTCTTCTACCTTGACAAATGGGTTTCCAGAAATATTCGAATTCAACCATTGTATATCTAAATAACTCATAAACGTCATTACTTCATATAAATTATGAAACATAATCGTGGAGTTTTTCACTGCATATTCAATGCGTCGGGTGCAATTAATAAATTCATTTAATAAATTATCTGTTGAATATTTTTCACATTCTCTTATACTTAAAGTGACGATTTCAACATAATTTTTTAATATCTGAGTATATTTGTAGTTAAGTAAACGAACAACAATACTTAACATGTCAGTTATATTCATTTTGTCTATTTTTTGTGCAAATACTTTTCCTATTGTAAGATTCTTGTACTCATCTTGATTCAACTGCAGATTTTTCATTGAATTCCATCCTTCTTGAACACGAATGTGTTCTACTACTGTAATAATATATTCTAAATANGAACACGAATGTGTTCTACTACTGTAATAATATATTCTAAATATCTCGTTTTTTTAGTTTTTATATTTAAGGTCGATAAATACCCTAAGTGTGTAAAATATATAAAAATAAAAATTCTGTACTGCATTTCAAATAAATCTGTGCTACTGAAACTTTTAATAGACAATACTATTTTTATTTATGTACAATTTTCTTTCTTTTCAAAGAAATTAATAATTCTTCTTACTATTAAATTAAGGATGTTTCAATATTTTATAGATATTAAATAATTACCTTTTTCTAAAAATCACATACACTAGTAATTTTTTTTTGTTGAAAACATTTTATAAAAATAAATTAAACGATATAAATCATTTAATGATAGTATTCTTTAATATATTTTATTAAAAAAATACTGTTCAGTTAAATCACACATATTGTTTAAGAAGTATTTTTAGAAATAATGATATTATGAACGTTTATGTTAAATAGTACCTTAGCAAACTGTATACGATCAATATTTTACAAAATAGAGGCTATTATATTAAAATATATAATTTCCAAAATTTTTAATTCAATATTATAGTTTATTTATTTAATTGATTGAATCTGGTTAAAATATTCAAACATTTACACAATAATTTAAAATATTATTTTCGTAAGCTACATTTTTTTTGTCCTTTTCATATTTAAGTTAAGATATTATTTATTGTTTTTAAAAATTTGCATTCCTACACGAATGCAAATTTTTTCTCTTTACAAATGTAATAAAATCCCAATAGTTCTTGGAAAAATTAATATTTTTATCCTTAATTTATTACTTCGTATAGTCCTGACTGCAAATAGTAATATTATTATGAGCCCCTTATTAAATGTACCTGAAGATTAATTTTAATCTTTATATTATGTGGTATATTTTTAAAGTTATAATAGAGACTTTTTTAACTTAATATATGAATTTATTTTTAAACATGATATTATAATTCTACATTTATGGACAACTATACCAATAAAGCCCAATTTATATAAATTTAATCCATTTCAAAAAAAAATGGCATATGATAATAATAATAATAAGACGATATTTAAAAAAAAAAATGATGCTCGAGTTGAGTTTGCATATCTATTAAAACTCTTTTCGTTTTGAAAAAAAAAAAGATAAATTTGTGTTTGTACGTAACAATTTGTTTAGATAGTAATCTTACAAAATATACATTTGTATAAAATATTAAATTAAGTATATTGGACATGCACACACATATTTTTTAGCTTCGATGCGAAGCTGAGAAGGTATTAATTTTACTATGATGTGTTTTTTTTTTTTTTTTTTTTTTTTTTTTTT